TGGGATGAAAATAATATAATTAATACTAAATTAAATATGAAAAACCTGATTTTTGAAAAGTTAAAGTTGGTATGTGATTTATGAAAATGGAAATCTAAAGATAGGGCTGGCTGTAATTTCGTCTAAATTAAAGTAGGGAGCAAATTAGTATGGATTTTCTCCGTTTAATATGTTTGGGCCATTTGGCCCAATGTAGCCCAAGTTTTTACCAGAATTTTTTATATTTTCAGAAAGATTTCGAATTTACATGGAGCAACTAAATTCTGTTAGAAGAAAAAAATGATAAGCAGAGGTGATTACAAAGAAAAAAGGAAAGAAGATAAACATTCGACATAAAGGTAGACAATGAAACTTCTAAAATTAATGCCAAAAATACCATATCACTAAATAGAATACAGCAGACCCTATGACATCTTGGAGATTGAACATCAACCAAATGCTTAGGCGTTCTCCCTCCGAATCTCCTCTTCTTCCAACAGAGTGTATTCATCCCTGATGTTGGCAGCCTGAAGAAACAAGGAAGTCATTAGCAAAACCAGTAACTACTAAATATAAGATTCACCAAACACTTTAACAAAAAGCAAGTGTAAATTGAAAATGCATATTTCTACCAGGTGTCTACAAACCACTTAGGAATCCTCAAACATTTTATGACAACCTAAGAGAAGATGAAAATACATGTCGCGCTAAAATATAAACACTGGAATAAAATTCATAGGTAAAAACATGTTGTACCTCAACAAGTCAATCATTTAGAACCCTGCTTACAACTGCAGTCAATTTCAATTTCAAAATTAAATAAATGGTATGTTCAGATAGTACTGCATATTATTCCGAACACAGTATAATGAACAGGAATTCAACTTGTGGTATTTCAGACAAAACATCTTTTTCTACTTTAATCTTGTTCAATAGTACACAATCCGGCCAAAAAGACCATAGGTGGAATTTCCTGAGCCAGAGTTTTAGTTTGTAATGCTTCTTACAATTAGTGATTGTAGATGAAGATTGGCTTTGTAAGCTGCAGCAAGAGACTCGTAATCTTGCTTTTCCTCTACAGTAGCAATAGCAACAGAAACAACTTCTAATGCAGCCTCGACTTCCTGCCTTTTGGATGCAGCTACCTCATCCTGCACAAAGAAATTTTAAATCACAAGGTGAAATAAGCAAGAATTGGAAAAATGCGAAAACATGAACCAGAAATCACCATAAATTCTCATTAGGACATTGAACTGACAACCGATTACAAGTATTAAAGAATGAAAGTCCAGGATTCCATGTCTAGATCAAAGCAAATGAAAGCAATTTATTAACTTGAGCTTTTGAAATGAGCAAGTTCGAAGTAATATATTAACAGCAAACACATATATGCTAAAGTAGCTCAAAAGAATAGAGTTACTAATCATATTACTTTTGGTGAAAAATAAAAGCATGCTAACTTTGTTGGTTGATCTTTGTGCAATAGGAAGTGGTGGTGTTCATCTCCAGCAGAGTCCACCACACTACCACTGTGATTGAACTCCCCTTTCAAAGTCTTCCCATCTCCTTTTCTCAATCTCAGTTCGTTGCTCTATAACCAATCCCTTATCAAAATAAACACAGAATTCACCAAAAGTTTTGGAAATCATAAAGGTACTCGTAGGATTCTTTAACGAAAATATTGCCTCAAAGTTACAAAAATATTACACATATAACATATTTCTAATTAGTATAGTATACTAAGGAGAATTCAAGAGTTTCAAAAGATTTTCTTTGTTGAGCGGTTTGGTTAAAAATGCATCTACTCCAGCCTCAACCATCTTGTTTATCTCTTCTTCTCCTCTTTCATGTGCAGTTAGTGCAATTATTTGTATGTGAACACCATAATTTCCTTCCTCTTCTCTGATGCGCCGAGTTGCTTCTATCCCGTTCATCAATGGCATCGCTAATACACCAACAGCACAATAATAATAATAATACTAATAATAATAATAATAATAATAATAATGAAACGCTTCAAAAAAAGGTACCTATAGCCAATGATTTATGACAAGAAAATTTTGCTTTACCTCACAATCCATTAGGATATAATCAAAAGGTAGTGAAATCTTGGAAGTTCCAGTTAAGTATTGATCCTAAAGATCCCTGTAAACTGCTTCAAGAGCTTGTTCCCCATCACACAGGAAAATGTGTATGCACCAAGCTGGGAAGCTGAAGATGTTGCTATTTTGCGCCCGATGGGATCATCATCTGCAACCAAGATTTTCTTCCCTGTCAATAGCTTCATAATGCTCGTACCCTCACCCTTTTGTAATGGAAGATTTTCTTTTAATAATTTCGCTTTCATACCTTGATTATGGCTAGTATTAGCTGTTCCTGAAGTGTGGGATTCATGATGAATTTGTCCAGGCACAATATTTTTGGGATTAAATAGATTTTCTCCTCTTCTTTCTGCAAACTCGGGTGAAAGTTCTTCTATTTCATCCTTCCGGCTAGGAGTATTTTCCGAGGACGATTTTCCAACAATTTGCCTAGTGTAAGTCTTATTGGCTGCAGCTGAATTATTGTACTGAGGAAGAAACTTATCAGAATTTTAAGTGTTTTCTCCTCTTCTTAGTGGCATGCCCTGTATTGTGCCACCAAACTCCGGTAAAAGTCCTATAATTTGTTTTAAACGGGGGCCATGGAGTGGCTTGGAAACGATTAAATCCATTGCAGGTAGCTTACCCTCATCAAGGCCATGAAAATTTATGCTATTCGTGCCCGGTTTATTTAACCAAACCACCCTACTACAGTAGTTGTTGCTTGGGTCCCTTCTGAATTCAGCCACAGCCCTACTGATATCACGAAATGGCCCAGCGCTTGTATCAATCACAATCAAAACCAAGCTCGAAAAACTTCTAGCACTAGTCCGTCTTTGAAGAGATGGAACATTATCTGTCCCTTCTAGTGAACTAAGGGGCACATCCTTTGATCGAGTACTAGATGCCCTTGATGTATTAACTTCAGATTTGACTGAGGAGCTTTGGCGTGAAAGGTTCAGTTTCTGTTTGATTCTCTTGAGAGTATCTGAAAGTTGTTCGTGTTGCTTGACTGCATATACTTTTATCCCCTGTCGTACCATGAATTTCTGTATAATTTTGGCCCTTTCGTTGCTCTGGATAAATATTACTAATTGGGATACTTCTGCCTTGGGGCTATGGCTTCTATTAATGGACCCCGAATACTGATAAGAGCCACTTGATGTGGAACCACCAGGAACTTCAATGTCATCGTCTCTTGCATTTCCAGACATGCCTATTTCAGTGCAAGTGCTGAAGAAGGTGTTGAACCTGAAACAAGTTCCCCTTTCCCCAACTTGCTTGTCCACAATTCCTATTTCTCCTCCCATTAGACGAACCTAAAATCAAACAATAATGTAAACAATAAAAAAGGGGAGTTTAGTTTTCAAAGAAATTGTAGTATGTTGAAAAATTGACATACTAGTCCTAAACCAGTTCCTTCTTGTCCAAGAGCTGTCTCTTTGACTTGAACATAGTTTTCAAATACAGATTTTTGCTTCTCTTTTGGAATCCCTTTCCCCGTAGGCCGTATCATTCACCTCAAATATATATTCCATACAATTTGAATCTTGTCGAATAGTATTCACCACTCTCGACTCACTATGCGATTTGTCAATCTGAAAAAACAAGCATGACGTGCAGCTCATCCAGCTATTGTGATTAGAAGCAAGTATTACATTCTCAAAACTCGGTTTTCTTGCCAAAGCACGAACTGACACATGCCCGTCTGAAGTATTATTTTCTTCTTTTTCTTTTTTTCTTTTTTTGTTGGTTTCAAGAATTATTTTCTTGTGTTCAATGTTTTGTAGTAGTAATTGTTTTAAAATTAAGAGTGCGAGCGTAATGTTACAAGTTTGTTTAAAATCGACTAGTCTAGAATTTGTATGTATATACATATATATTATGACACCGTCGAAGTTGTTAAGGCCTTATTGAAACTGGAATCATGTGGAGTAACTTAATCATATAAAACAACTAAAATAGTGTGTCCTCGTATTAATTAGTAAAAAGGAAAAGAAACATCTATAAAAGTTGAAAAACCTTTATTAATTCAAATTTGGACCACCCCAAGATGAATGTCCTTTTTAGCTGAACTGTTGACACTTGTTTTCCATGAATGCTTGGCAACAATGTGTCCTAAACCATGATAGGAATAAAATCTGGAAAAATTTTACAGATTAACTGAAACAACTCTACTCTTGCACAATTATAAGGCATATTTTACTTTTTGGCCCCCAAAAAAAAAATTTGCCTAGTTTGTCTTGATAGTTAAGTCCACTACTTGATTATTGGTTGAAATGCACTTTTGTATCATTTACTAGGAAGAATTGATATGAAGTAACAATATAAATAGACAAATCAAAATATAGTATACTACTCAAAATTTCATCTCCTGGATATAAGGAATTACAAACTTCTAATTGAAGTCTATTTCATATCCATATCACATGGTCTCGTGTGAACATTACAAGGTAACAATGGCCATTTAGTCCCAATAGTTTCACTTTCTGTTAAATCACTTTTAGTCCCTCCGCTCTCCCAATTTGCAGCGGTAGTTGCTGGAGTAGCATAGAAGATGAAGGGGTGGTTGAGGATGGTTTTGCCCCTGTAAAAGTCGACCATGTGCTTCTCAGTTCTCACATAATAATCTAACGTCAATTTGGACGGATTCCATCCCAAAAAACTGCCGCTGCTACATCAACTGATCATGATATTTTCTGCAAATCACTTCCTGAAGGAAGAATAAATCGTTAAACAAGACTTCCAATGTATCTTCAGCAAACGTAGAACAATAACACATCGCTCAGAAGTTAGAACAGTTCTGTGTCCATTGTAAACTATGAAATAGAACAAGCGTGGTGGCAAGAATAGAGAAGAAGAGCATAAAGATGGCAGTAATCTGAAATTCCCAACTTAAATACACAACGAACATTTGTTGAGTAAACAATTTGATGTTATAGCTCAAGATCACAAAAATGCTGTTTGAGCCTCAAATTAGAACAAAAACTTTAACTGCGCTCCTGGAACCAAGCACAACACCTTTTCAAGTTCCAAGATAAGAATTTAAGAGAAAGAGGCTAACCACTCGGAATGTCAAATAAACCAGAGAGGAAAGTAACCAATAACATCTCAGTGACAATCCAATATCCTGCAATAGTATTTCCAATACCCATGATTGCATCATAATTTATTTATTTTTTTAACGAAATTAGCAAAAAATAGTAGAGCCCTCTTCCTCTTTAATGCAGGGAAATGATATTCATGAGGATGCATCACCTGCAGCATAACAAATTGCAACATATTCAGATAAAATAAGAGCCACGGTGCACAACCTGCATAGGGAAAACCATTGCAAGTCAAGTAGATAAGAAAACAAAAACAAAAAAGAATAGCCAATAACCCCGTGCAATAAGTTCCAGTATAAGCAATTCTATAAAAATCATAAAGAAATATACGATGTTAGTTTGTTAACAAGCCATCACAACAGGTAGGGTTTTAACAGCTAGTTAGCATAGCAACTACTAGACTAAAGTAGTTAAAATAATAAAGACTGCTTTACCAGTGCAGCGTCTGTTAAATAAATATTATTTATTTATATACCACTTCCAGTAAAGGGAATACCTCGTCAACCAAACATTTGTCATAGTTAGGACATCCCAATCTGATAGAAAGCGAGTACTGATATATATATAGGATCTACCATCGGCCTTTGAATCCCAGACGATTAGTTTGGTTGGGAGAAGAATAGCTGATGATGATGGAACTATGTGGACAACCTGGGCAGCTCATTTACATCTTTAGCCAGAGCTCTTAAAGTCACATTTTGATCCATCTTTTGCATTACAGTAGATTATATGGGTTCTCTTTAAAAATAAGATTATGAAAATATGTCAAATAATTTTGTTACCAAGAAACCTTTGTAATGATTTCAAAGTTTGCCCATGTAAGTGATTCTGGCAGACATTCCGTTAACTGTAAGGGGGATCTCTACTCTTGACTCTTCTCTTCATCATCTCAGCCCACCTAGCAAAGAGATTAGCAACCTCAAACTTTCCAGAAAACTTCATCTTTTGAGCCAACTCCTCCATTATATCAGATTTACCAGCCCGGGAAAAATCAGCAATGAACTTGTTGTAATCAAGGTGAGGTGCCCTCATTCCTTTCTGAATCATTTCTTCTAGATATTTACAAGCCTCAATAGATCTTCCTTGCCTTATAAGCCCTCCAATGAAAACTGTGTAAGAGTTCTCATCAGGACAACATCCCTTCCTCTTCATCTCCTCCCAAAATGCACAGCCCCTATCATAGTTTCTCGTGACAAAGTAAGATTTCATTATCATATTGTAAGTGTGGATACTCGGCTGAATATTGTTCTGGATCATCTTCTTATATATCTTGACCGCGTTGTCTGGCATCTTCCCGCTAGTCATCATTTTGATCAGAACATTATAAGTCCGTCCATCAGGAGGGCATCCTTTCTCACTCATCTCCTTCAACAACTCATACACCATATCCATCTTCTTTTGATTTCCAAACCCGGTCATCAAACAAGTGTATACTACACAATCGGGCTCACATCCAGAACCAAGCATTTCATCCAAGTAATCAACTGCTTCCTTCATTTTTCCATGTTTGCACAAGTCCTTAATCAAGATCGTGTAGCTTCTTCTGTTGGGAAATGGACCTTTGGCCTTCATCACCTCAAAAAGCTTGATTGCATCAGACCATCTTTTGCCTCTCAACAAACCCTCAAGCATTGTGTTATGGGCAACAATGTCAGGCTTAAAACCCTTATCAATCATTGCATTCCAAATCCTCCCAGCCTCCATCAAATTCTTCATCCTGCACCAACCGTTGAGCAAAACACTATAAGTTCTCAAATTAGGTGTGAACCTATGCTCTAACTTCTCGAACAAAGCCTGCGCTTCCTTTCCAAGCTTCTTCTTTCCTAATGCATCCAGCAAACAGTTGATCGTCTCTACCCCTACTTTAAACCTATACTTCTTCATCATGTCAAAAATCCCTACAGCCTTTTTTCTCTCTTTTGCAGCTGCAAAAACTCTGATCGATATAATAAAAGTTTCCATGGTGAGCAAACCCTTCGCGCCCATTTCTTCAAGAACTGACACCATGGTCTCAAACTGCCTAGTCTTTCCGAGAATATTCATCATTGTGTTGTACGTCCTAGAATCATGAGCAAACCCAGACCTCTGAGCGGCCCAGCAGAAAAACCGAAATGCAGGTTTCCGAGCATGCTTAAATCTCTCCAACACATCCACCACAAAATCATGACTTAAATTCAGCTCACATTCATCTAAAACTACCTCCATATTCCGATCCACCCCAAATGTTTCATCAATCAGTTTACACACTCTCTCCACCTCCTTTTGATCAGCCTTTGATTTCACATCTTCAACAACAGTCAATTCACTTTCATCACTGCTCTCGGCTTCAGAACCGTAAGGCATTACATCCCCAAACGGAACGCTAGAAAAGGGCCTAAATTTATTTAGGTCATACAATACAGTATTGGAATTGGAAAGGAATTTCAGATTCTGCTGGGGCACTGATGGCAATTGTCTTTGAAAAGGAAAGAGCCGAGAAGGGCATCCCAAAAAGTATGGAACTTGACAACGACTACACTGTAAAATTTTATCCGTAAAATAATCAAGCAAAGAAGGCACGGGCAGAGAGCTACCTCGAACTTGCTTCTCTTCTATTCCTCCTCCTCGCACCGCTGGGTTTCTTTGGTGACTTTCAGAGAGTAGCTCGATACTTCTAAGGAAGGGCTGGACATTTTTTGAGGTACATCGCGGGAAATTTGACAGGGAAGATTTCCTAGAAGTTCTAAAATAAAAGGCCATTCAATATCAATAAAATAGTTGTCAGGGCCCGTGCTTCCGATCAGACGGTGGATTTCTGAATACAGGGTGGGTGGCGCGTGACTGGTGCAGTAGGTGAAAAGCACCGGAAAGAGGAGATGCTGCCAATTCTGTGTTATCCCGACATAATGGGTTTCTCATTTCTTCTGGGCCGTTACATGATAAAGATACGAAAATTGATGGAAATAGCACTAAAAGGAGAAAAATAATTATAGTAGCACTCTTTGTGGAATTTTCTTTCCCGCCAAATAATTTTCTTTCCAGCATTTTATCCTTGAAAATTTTTGCACCGCCTTGTTTCTTCCATCAAATGGCCCCAAATAAAAGATCCAGCAATGGTCGATCGCCGTTGGTCAATGAAAGGCAGAAAATCACCGCATTCTTCTCCAAACAAAATCCTGAACCTAACCCTAAATCTACATCCTGCCGAAACCCAAGCCCTAACCCAACAACGCCGCCGTCTTTCCAGACCAAGCGCAAGAAGCCACTACTGACCGTCACACCCAATTTATCTTCATCTCCTTCAACCCCTGACTCCGCGAAGAAATTGTATGATCAAGACGTTGTTGACAAAAGTATCAAAATTTATCGTCCTTTGGATAAATCTTGGTGCGAGGGTCGGGTGAAATCGTTCGATAACATTTTGGGGAAGCATTTGGTGCAGTATAAGGATGCCAACGAGGAATTATTGAATCTTGAGGAGGAAAGGATTGAGTGGGTAGCTCTGCCGGTGATGAAAAAGTTTCGGAGACTGCGAAGGATTTCAGTGGTAGAAGATGAAGAGGACAATATCAAATATCCGGAGAGTATAGCCTTGGAGGATGACGACTGTTCTGAGGAATGGACTTCGAGGAAGAAGACTGGAAAATTGAAAAATCGGGTTATAGAAGAAAGCTGAATAAAGGAAGTGGAAGTTGAATTGAGCTAGTGGTAGAAATTTGAAGCAGCGTGTGCCTAAGAATTCTTTCAGTGTCAATGGATTGGGGAGAAAAAGAGCTGAAAACAGTGCTGATTGTAAGTATAAAGAGTTCGGTTTTTCATTTATACAGTGTCTGAACTCTGAGGAAAATGCTGATGGGAAGATAAAATTTTGTACTGCTATTTGGGAATGGGATTGTTGGAGGCTTTTCTTCTATATTCAAGTATTTTCTTTTGTTTTTATGGAATTGATCTTAATTAAAAGCTGCTTTCAGCGTAATTTTCATGTGTAAGTTGATAATTATTACATTTGTATGTTTGGCGGTTAGATTGAAATCATATTATTTATCTAGTTTTTCTTGTTTAATACATAAAAATTAACTACTTACATTTCTTTAACCATCTGCTAGTTGTTAATGTTGCAATTAGTTTGGAAGGTTCCTTTACACTTGCTGCATGCAGTAAGAGACGGGGGTGATGTTGCACGATTAACCAGTAAGTAAATTTTTTAAGGTAATTGCAGTAGTTTGAAAAGGTGAAGATGTTTCATCTCTAACCCCTTCCTCCATTGCTCAAATCAGAAGAACTAAAAATTATAAATACTTGAAAACCAGATGCAATGTCAACTTTCTCTCATGACGGAGTAATTGAAACTCACAGGTCAAATATGAAGCACTACTTTGTTGGAAATCCATCTTAATAAATTGTGTATTTCTGTTTGAAAAATCTATATGTTAGCATGCTCATCCCATCATCTATTAGTGTAGTATCAAAGTATTCCTAGTATTGTTGAGAAAATAGAAGGATCTTTGCTTTGCATTGAGGCAACATACAGTCACTGGGAGCTTGGTTCTTGGGTGATAGGATAATTGCAATGTAGCAGTACTTTGGATCAAATTAGAAACCATGGACCATGTACATAAAAATTCTGCTCTGCTTGACTACGTTTTGATTCGCTTATCTGTAAAATGATCGCAGTGTATCTTAAATTTCACAAAAGAAAAAACACTTTGATAACCCATAAGCTTGGCATGATATATGACCTAAGAAATTTAGGTGTCGGAGGGCAATCATTCTCATCTTATTGGTTCTGTAACTGTGATTTCATCATTTTGGCGCATTTTGATCGCCCTCCACGTGTTCCTTGTCTTATAGTTGCTCTCTTGTTTCTGTTTTTTCCTTTTACAATGTATCTATGAAATCTTGTCTGTCCTCTTTTCTCCCGAAAGGGAAAAAATGATACTTGGTGCATTACTCAAGGGAACTTGATTAGTTTTGTATTTCAATGTCGTGCTGTCCTACATCTTCATTGTTTTCTTCATCAGAGCTAGACATATCATTGTCAGAATTCTGTAACCGAAATGGAAAATGGATGATTAAGTTATTGTAAAGTACCAATCTAAAATAAGGTGAGTTTTAGGGAAATAACCTCATATTGATGCCTTGTGCTGCTTTGAATTGTTGTGATCATCCGAATCAATATGCATATGGGAAGAAGTACCCCCACCAGCCTTGACAATAAGCAACTGCTAAGAATGTGAATATTTTTATTATGGACAATTGGGTATAGCTGAAAACCTAGGTAGGATGCTAATGCTAATTGAGCATTAATTACCAGTAAAAGATTAGGAACTTACAGAAAGAAGTGAAAATGGATAATCCCCTTATTCTACATGTAAGCACTACTTTCAAATATCTTATCAGAAGAAGTAATGTGAACTACAAAGTGGGTAAATGGTAAATGAATAAGAAATCGTCATTTTCAATACGAAATGTATAAACTCTTGAAACTCTCAAGAGTTGAAAAACAAAATTGACCCCTGTGTCGTATGAGAATATGTTAATGCAAATGGGGCTTATTTATTATTTGAATGTTGTCGTCAACACCTGTGTTAGAATTTGGGTGTGACCTGAATTCTTTGTTGAAATAATTGAAGAAATCTAATTGAAATACACGTCAAGAGGAATTCAGTTTGGAATGCTATTGAAGTCTTATTCAAGTTGAAATTCTATTTGGAAGCCCTATTGGAAGTTGGAATTTGTATTGACTCGAAGATTTTGAAATTATGAACGAAGAAGAAAAGTCGCCACATTTTCACTAATCTACCGCTAGCTAGCTGCTCGAGCAATACTTGCAGGTTTTCTCCCAAGACTTGGTTGCTTGCCTATCGCTCGGCTGGCGCTCGAGCGACGAACCGTCACTAGCTTCTCGCTCGAGCGACAAGATTATTCGGCTCAAGCCCGTTTCGCGTTCTAACACATTTTTGACATTCTACTTCAACTACAACTCATTTATTACGATTTACCTATATATACTTAGCTCTTTTCTACAATTTAGAATAGATGTTTTGAGAATTTATGATAGTTTAGCTTAGGTGATTACTAGAACTTCAAATCAATTGTATATTTCTCCATTATTGTTCATGACTCAATAAAATCTCCTAATTACTCTGTCATATTTTTTTGTCTTCTTTTATTCTTTTACTTGTGATCAAATACTTCATTATTGTATCATACAACTTCAACATCTCAATCTGGTGGTTAGTTTCATATCAAGTGGTATCGAGCGATATGTGATCCTTGAATTCCCAACAATTGGTATCAGAGATTTTGAGCATAATCAATACAACTAGTATCAGAGCGATTCTGGTATTTTGTTTGATTTAACAACAACTCGTCTTGACTTCTCATGCAGGTTAAATTTATTTTTTATTATTAAAGGCCTGACAACTTGCAAAGTTTTCGTTAATGGTTGTGATGAAACTTGTGCTCGGCATCTTTGGGTTCCAATTCCAAATTTTTTTCTAACAAATGAACTGCCAACAGTTTGTACATAATTTGGGATACTTGAAACCAACAAAGTTGCATGAACAGCTTACAGTTACAGTCACTGATGTGCACCAAGCACTTCTATCAGCGGCTGAGGCGCATTCGGAATCAAGAATTAGTACTGCATTTTCTTTTTCTGGCTCCGTTCTTGGAACTTCCAAACTTCCCCTGTTAAAATCTTTTCAATTAATTAAAAGGCAAGAAGAATATATTAATAACAAATATTGTAACTTATGTAGAATATTACAACCTCAAATTGTGGCAATGATATAAAAGGGTGGCATTCTCCCGTGAACTATGCCGGTGCGATTCAAAATGAAAAAAGAAAAGAGAAGGTAAACACTGTGAAGTGAAGAAGGTGCTCGTGTTATACTTGCATATTGTATATTTGGTATGCAGTTCTTAAAGGCAAATGACGTTACAATTAAATTTTGTTACGCCTCTTATAACGAGTCGCCAAATCATCAAAACATGCCCATGCTCCAAGGTGCTGAAGCGCCTATAACAATATAGTACGAGGCAAATATCCAAAGTGGATAGCGTCGGTATGAACAAGGATGGAGCCACATGGTTAGAAGACACGCCTGCTGATGGCAGTCAATACTTCGGCATAAGATACAGATCTTTTAGACAAAGATCTGTCCAAAATAAAATCTTATGACTGATGAATGTGACATCCATGTAGTAGACGTCAATGTGTCAATTCAAATCCAGAAACATTAAATGTCCATCTATCTATGGAGTGATAGATGGACGTCTATAAAGATACGCTTCAGACCAGTAGATGAAGCCATGTGTTCTACATCCAACTTTTCTTCTTTCACCTCTTTCTCTATAAATTTAGGATTGGGTCCTAAAAAATACATTTCACTTCTACAATATATTCTCAATATTCAACATATCAATTTAGCATTATTTAAATATATATAAAACAATCTAATCAAAATTTTAATACTCAAGAACAATGTTCAACCAATCATATTAGGGGTTGTTCTCTTTGTGTTTGAGTTTTGTGTTTTGAATTCATTTTGTATTTTGTGTTTTGAGTGTCAATTTTGAGATTTTTGAAAATGAGTTCTTTTTGGCATTTTGAAAAATTGTTTTCAAAAATTAGGAAATGGAAACGTGTTCTCTTCCCCTTCCG